AAGAGTTAGAAGGATTAGAAAAATGTTGATTTAATAGTTCAACATCAACACAAGGAGGTAAGGCATTTAGGGATGTTCTTCCAACTCCAACTGTTTTAAGAAACTTCCACACTCTAGATGAGTCGCCGTTCTCGACTGATGTATGAATATGGCGTCGTTGTGCATCTCTACATAATGTATTGCAGCGATTCCTGATTTTGGCGTATTTCCTTTGGTTTTCCTCTGTTTTATTCCTCTTAAGCTTTGACAATGCTACATTTTTCTTCAAGATAAGTTTTTTCAGATCATCAGAGAGCCATGGAGCAGGTAAATGTTTGAGTTTTACGTAATGCATTGGCGCGTGAATGTCATAAAGCTGAGTAAGTAAGGAACAGAAAAGTTCAACTTTATCATCAATGCACGGTACTCTCTCAATCACTGAGATACTGAATACTATCGGGTCCGACCTGTCAAAGCAAGAGCATTCAATCTCAATCATCACATTGTGATCGTAATGTCTTTGTAAGTTCTCCCTGTCACTATAATGATAAAGCATTGCTCAAAAATTTTGTGAAAATGAAAATTATTTTTTTTGATACAAAAATTCTCACCAAGGTAGAACAACTCTGTGATAATTTCTATAATCAGACGACTAGGTGAGTTACATTCGTTCGATATGTTGTTCGATTACCGTTTTGTGAAAATGATCCAAGGTGAAAGTATTACTATTTAAGAGAATTTGACGCCTTAAAGAGATTTTGACTTCTAGAAAAGCGTTTGAAGAATGATACCGAACTCAAGAACAAGTATTCAGAGGTAATTCGTGAATACTTGCTCGCTGGAAGATGACATAAGAAAAATTTCTTAAATTTAATTGTTCTACTAAAGATGAGTTTACTTATGACTACGGCATCTCACTCAACGGCACTCTGATAATAGGTCCTAAGCTTATACATTATTTACGGCACATTAAACTAAAGTGGCGTATGCACCCTATATACGTGAGCGCAGATATAGTCAAAATGTATCGCCAGATTATAGTCTCAGAAGAAGATGTATACTTTCAGAGGCTTGGGTGTAGAGATAGCACGAAATCTGAAATAAAAGAAACGTTTCCTAAAAGCATCAAAATAATTTAAGATCTGGAGTTGGCAACAGAGACAGTAACCGTAGGTATCCGTGAAGCCTTCGAGGACAGTTGTCCCGTCAAAACCAAGACCTCAACACGAAAAGTTCCTTGGTGGAATACTAAGCTAAAAGAACTGAGGGAAAAGACCGGAAAACTATTTAATAGGGCAAAGAAAACCAAAGAGTGGGATATTGATAGTGCAGCCTTAACTGAATATAAAAACCAAATTAGGAAAGCCAATACAACATCGTGGAGAAAGATATGCGAGGAAGTTGAGACTTTGCCTCGCAGTGCAAGACTACACAAAATGCTATCGAAAGCTAAACCTAATCAGATCGGGCTTCTTAAAAAACCAGATGTTAACTTCACTAATAGTGAAACAAAAACATTGGAGTTACTAGCGTCAACCCATTTCCTATGTTCACACAAGACTTCAGTCTTAAATTCTTTCAGAGCCCTACGAAAGCCTTGTAATGAGGACTGGTGTAGGGCTGCAAAGATAATAAGGCCAAACCTGGTGCAGCGGGCTGTTGACTCCTTTAAACCACTTAAATCAAGCGGGTAGGATGGAAAAATTCCCATCCAACTACAGAGGGTATCGACATCCTTCTTCCTTATCTGGTGAAAATCTTCAGAGTAAGTTTTGCATGGGGATATTTTCCAGAACGATGGACAATTGTCAAGGTTCTATTTTTACCTAAGGCTGATAGAAAGGACTACGTTTTAACAAAGTCCTTTAGACCTATAAACCTATCTTCCTTTCTCCTTAAGACATTGGAAAAGGTTATAGATACATATATAAGGGATGTATCTCTAGTTACGAGGCCCATAAATTACAACCAGCATGCTTAGCGCAGAGGCGAATCTACGAAAACAGCCCTGATCAGTGTCATTTACAGGGTCGAAAAAGCACTGGAGGATAAAGAAATAGCTCTTTGTGCCTTTCTAGATATTGAGGGCGCCTTCGATAGTAGCCCCACATCACTGCTGATTGGGGGCCTGACATCTAAAAATGTTGACCCCACAACCATCAGATGGGTGAAGTCAATGCTCTCAAACAGAAAGGCAAAAATAGCGCTGTTTCAAACAAACGATTGAAGTTGCAACTACAAGAAACCGCCCACAAGGAGGTGTTTTGTCAACCCTTCTTTGGAATCTTACGGTTGACCAACTATTGTACAAAATGGCAGACCTACGCATTGACACACTGGGTTATGCTGACGACCTTCTGGGCATTGCGAGGGGCTTTTGCCAAAGTACTTTATCGTCAATAATACAAAGAGCCCTAAGCACCATAAATAACTAGTGCAGGGATAACAGCTTATCTGTTAATGCTGATAAAACTTTTATAATACCCTTTACCAAAAAGAGACGGTTGGAAAAATTAGTCCAACCAAAACTTAATGGTAAAGAAGTACCATTTTCCACTGAAGTTAAGTACTTGGGAGTAACAATCGACCAAAATCTAACGTGGAACTCTTACCTTAGGAACGTATGCCATAAGGCAAAAATTGCTTTAGGTACCTGCAGTCGTTTGGTCGGTAACAACTAGGGCTTGCGTCCCAATATGGTCTTATGGCTATACAACAGCATAGTGAGGCCGATTCTCACCTACACCTCTATTGTTTGGTGTAACAAGGCCAACCAAAAGACGACTGTGGACAGACTAAATAGTCTACAAAGGACTGCCTGTTTAATGGCAACTGGAGCTATGCGATCATCGCCTGGAGCGGCTCTTAATGCACTTCTATGCCTAACGCCCCTTGATCTTTATCTAGGAGGCGAGGACTAGTTTGTATAGGATTAACGTCCAGTGCGGTCTGAGCTTGCTCTCCTACAGATTCATGCTCGACTCAATTTAGAAAACACTGGTCTTATGCATGATCTCAGATATCATGCGCCCACTACACACTTTTGATAAAAATATGTAGTGAAATTACCCTCCAGAGAAGACTGGCTGAATGGTAAGGTTATCTTTGAGGTCGGCAGCCTCATATGGTATACCGATGGGTCTAAAATGGGCCTCGACATAGACTTTACGGGGAACGCCCCAAATTCAGACTTAGTATGAATTTGGGAAGATACACCTCTATCTTCCAGGCAGAAATTTTCGCCTTACTTCAGTGTGTGGAAATCAATCTCCAAAAATACTACGTCAACTATATAATTTATATAAACTATGATAGTCAAGCAGCACTGCTAGCGCTGAGGTCAAACTTAGTGCCGTGATCCCTCGTGCATTTAACGCACCTGGGGCGGGCGAAACAGTTACGGGCACAACCGGGCATTGCCCGGGAACTTTCTTCTTGTGTCAACGGCAACCCCCGACAAGTGACATACCGTGCCTACGTCAAAGATCTTTTTCCCTGCCTCCGATAAGTCAAGGATGATTAGGACTAAGTTGTAGTGGGTGCCTCTGGTCTTAGTGATCCCCATATTATCCACCATACGGTGCAGCTCCTGTACCAGGTGTCCCTGCCGGAGAAGGTCCTCCTTTATAAAGGAGGTCTCAAACTTCGTCGGTATTCCGCGTATCACTACGTGGAGACGCTTCTCTTCCTCCAGGAGTAGATGTGGAAAGGGATGTCCTTTCCACGAAGAATCTTATTGAGGGCCAGAAGGCTTGGCTTTGGAAAAGCCAATCTTCTTGTCGGCCACTATCCGTGATGTATGTGACAGATAATATGATTATCAAATACAGTTAACACCTTGCGAGAGTTACTGTAGGTCAATATAAGCGTTAATAATTTAGTGAATAATATGCCAAGTATACAAACGTAATTTCAATATATGTACAAATAATAATAAATAATTACTCGTAATCTATAAAACAAATAACACAGCACAAATATAACAAAAAATCTATGATATGCGAAAGAAAAATTAAAAAAAGGGTATTATACAATTTGAGCATGTGAGATTCAAGCTAAACGTTACTTTAAGCAAAACAGCATAATGAGCAAAATATAGATACAATAACAAAACACATAGCAAAAACTTGACCTTTTGCTAAACGAACGAGAGCGAGGTGCGAGTACACAATTAATTAATAGACGATGCTACCAAACCAAAGAATGCAAAACTTTGCACATGCCCCGAAAGTAAACTAAACAGTAACTTAAGAGGCATTTAACAATTTTTCTTAACCCGCAATCACAATTTTTGTTACAGGGTTGGTCACCTGGGGTCAGCCAGTATCCCCAAAAATAAACTTAATTTTTATAAAATCTGTGGCTTTTTTTAAATTAATTTATGATTCAATGAATAGTTTAGAGTATAAAAAAATAAAAATCACATATTTTAATTAAACAAATGATAATTTATAATTGTTTTAACCCTTAAGATAGCAAATAATTTTTTTGGCGTGTTTTTTATAGGAATCTATCATAAAAATTATTAAAAATAAAAAAATAAATTAACAAAACCTTTCTTCTACCAAAACTAAATTATCAAATAGACAACTATATTAAATCAAAAAAACTTGTAACTTACAATAAAAAGTACAAAGAAACCTTAAGCTGAAAGTTACAATTATAATGCTAATATTGCTGATGTACATTTTTATGGGAATCTATAATAAAGACTAGTAGAGATTAAAATAATATCAAGAAAAGCTTTTTTCTCTTCATAAAGTAAATAATCACATATGTGCTCATAAAACTTATTAATAGAAAAAAAACATGCTGACTGTTCCAACAAATATGTTCGGATACATTCTTCACAAATATTTTTGCAATGCCAAAATATCACAGTGTAAAATATTTTCTGTCCATTCAGCGAGGACAGTGTACACATTGTCTCTTCTTCGGTTGCGGTTCTTCTTCTTCATTCTCTTCTATTTCTTGAACTTGAGTTGTTACAGTGCGCATTATCGTGTTAGATCCTATCACCATTACAACTTACACAATATCACTACTACATAACTACCATTTCTTAATTTTCTGTGCATCACGTAATACTGTGAAGTTTGCAAGTGAGACAAGGGAACGTCATTTTCGCTACTTGAACCAATGCTCTGATTTTCCGTGATAGCTTCTGGTTCTGAATTGCATTCTTCTTCTGTATCAATTTCGTGCTCACTTATTTGAGGCCCTATTTCATCACCACCTTCTTCATCATCTTCCCCACCAATTACATATTCATCTGACTCTTCTTCCAACCAGTTTCTAATATGTTCCTCTTGTGACAAACTTTATTTTGTTCTAATAATAATTACATTTTTATAACGCTGTTAGTCGCGTGGGGTCTACTGATGCCCGTCATGAAAAATACGTCCATAGCGTTCAATTGTACGGCACAAACTTAACGGTAATTCGTATAACTTATATCGCGTACTTATTCGTTATAGAAAGGTAGCTAGAATGTAGGTAGATTTGAATGCGATAAAAATATTAGTATTTTATATATTAGGAAAATAAACTTTTGACGTGCGTTTATTCGCCCCACGGGACCTACGGCGGGTTAAATCCAACTCCGTTTTTATTATATGAACAGGTGATGTTGTGGTTTGCCGTACAAAAATTTTGCATTTCTTCACCAAAACAAACGAAAAATTCCGCTCCTTGGTCAAAGTCTCTGTTTTATTTAATAACAATTTATTTTCAAGCGTTAAATTATCATTGATAAAGATTTTGTTAGTACCGTTACGACTTATATCCAACGGTGTTAGGGATTTCGGCATTTTCTACGGCATAACAGCTTTTTCTTACTGCTGCAACAATGTTTACTACCCAGAAGCCAACCCAATTTGGTATCACCCCCCTATTAGTTGCCTAGCGGCAGTGTAGTTTTCCAGTTTGATGTGAGTTTGGGGGTAGGAGAGCCAATATAATTACCGGCTGCAAATAATGCAAGCACTTAAATCCTTAGATGTGAAGCACAACAAAATTGTAGCACTATTTTACTGTGTAGCAATATTGAAGTTGGTTACAGGTGGGCATGGATACAAAATGCGTATTGTTACGAGCTTGAGGTTCGTGACAATAAAAACTGCCGATTGAATTACCAAAATTTACACTTTAATTCACTTTACACAAATTAAAACTTAAAACACTAATAATTAACCACACTGATTCACTTTATTTCACTCCGAAGCTTCGCTTGTCTCGCCAAATTTAATACTGCCCCGACCGCGTCTTGCAGCGCCTTTAAATACACATTTTCACCGAAACATCCAGAATATTCCCGTAGATACGGGCGCCGACCGATCAGACGCAGAAAGTTCGAGTGTGAGGCTTCTAGAAAGCTTAGTTCTTCAATTCGATACTAGAGGGCACTGTTAGTTAAAAGATTAGTCATGTCATTTTCTGGATAGCTCTCCTCGCTCTGTTACCCGACACTAGATGGCGCTAGTGCCAGCTACATGACGTCAACTTAGGTGTCCAACAGTATTACAGATAATGGACATCTGTTTATAAAAATACGGTCATTTATTTTACATAGCGAAATCAGAGAACCGACATTATATTATGTCTAATTATGTTTATTCTATCGTTTCAGTACAAAGCATTGTAATAATTTTCAAAAATATCAAGTAAAGAAATTAAAGTTACAATTATAGTTATTTCTGAAACAGAAATCAGCGTGTTGGCGAATTCTACGTCATGTCTTCGAATTTTTTTTTAACATGCAGGTTTTCTACTTAAAATTCAGCACTTAAGATTGCAATTAATAGTTTCATCGGTGCCAGCAGAGATTGAACATGATATGCTCTCGTACTTCTAAATTGACATCGAGTATTTAGCCCCCGTGTTAGATGCGCGAAGACCATGAGGCCAGGAAAACGAGCACTCAGAAGCACTAGCCTCCTGCCTCCAGCGGTGGTGCGAAATGGGCTCGTCAAGCCGAGTGGAGTGGCCTCCTCGGGCCGACCCTACACCTTGGGTCAGCCGTTTTGGTTCCACTTAATTCACCCAGGGTGACCAAGCCTCCCCCTCCCACCACGACAAGGCGGGAACCCGTTCGGGGGGAGGGGGAGATGCCCGTGCCTACCCACATTAATATTATATACTTTTAAAGGGCCTACATATAAATACTTCTTAACGTTAACCATTCTCTGAAGCGGCAATAACTTCTCTACAATTATGTTCATATTCAGATTAAGCATTATGTCAAATTGTCCAAATATAATAAATAAGTAAGGGGATTGTAAACGTTTTTTATTGAAAGATCAATTTATGATTGAAAGGGCTTAAAACATAACTACGCTAAGATTTTTTCTTGTAAAATAAAAGTGTTTTACATACATAAATTTCACATAGACAAACGTTTAAATCCTAAACAGAGGAAGGTCATAGAAAAGCTTAATTCAGCACCATTCATTCAGATGCATTCAGACCATTCCCGACAGCTAAACCCTTATTTTAGTCACTACGCTACCAAGCGGTCAAGAAAAATTATATTTATATTTAATATAATTAAACTAAGAAGTAAAACAGAAAATCTGAACTCTGACGAAACTCTGGGCTAACTCAAGTCGGTGGAATGAGGTGCGGGTTTCAATCATTTATTCATTAGAGTCCACTTCTGGACATAAGCCTTCTTCAATAAATTTATTTATAGAGGAGATATTTGCCATATTTTCCATGCTTGGTTAGATGGCAACCATAGTTTTTACATTATTTAAAGTTGTTTGTAGGATGATAAATCCATGTTCTGTTTCATTTCCCTATGTCGCCTGTTGCGATATACACGGGATGATATAGGACAGTGGATTCTTATCTTTAACCGCAGTTTGTATAAAAAGAATGGCAGTTACGCCGTCACTACACTTATAACAGATACTATGAGTTTATAAAAAAAGTTATATTAACTTTAGTTTTAAGTAAGAACCAAGTTCGCTTCAAACTACATGATACGTGAAGCATTACGCGAGCAACGTGAATCCAATCTCTGCCGAAACCAAAAAAGTTGTAAATCTTTAAAACTTGAATGATGATTTATCATGCTTACTCGGGAGTAAATCATATATTTACTGTTTCATATTCATTACTATGCTTTTTATGAATTGTAAATTATTGTTATTATTTTTATAAAATTGAAGTGACAAACAAACTTACGGTTCGGCAGATAGTAAGTGGCTTCTGCAGCCCATAATCCCCTTCAAACAGAGAAAGCTACAGATGCGTAATCACCACTGAGGACTAAGATGGAACACTTCAGAGCCTGTAACTATACTGGCTCTCTATACCCAGGCGAATTCCAAGGTAGAAAAAGAGTCCCAGAATCAAGATGTTTTCGTTCTCCCGTTTCGTCAATAAAATAGAATATAATGTAATAGAATAGAACAGAAAAGAATAGAACAGAATAGATCAGAATAGATCAGAATAGATCAGAATAGGACAGAAACTAATAGAATAACAAAGGTTGTACATTCACACGGATTATTATTAACCATGTACTCATTCATATCATAATAACCTCTTTGGGTAGGGTTTGGATTCATAAAATATGTAAACTTGTTACTAACGAGATTTTGTATATTTTTGGGAATTTATTGTAATAGCATGTACATTGCCTCATGAATGAATTACTAACTCTGTGAGAAACTGGTCTTTAATCTTGTGTTTTTTTCCTAGTGTTTACAAAATGTAAATCACTTTTTTACTAAAACGATTTTAGTTATTGTTAACATACATTAAATGATTTCTTACGTTTACGTGAACACTACAATTTAAATAAAACTAGTTGTAACTTCACTTCACGCCTTCATAACGGCTTGAAACTAGATTTTGTAAGCTGACAAGGAAGAAGTCCCGTCGAACGGCGGCACTTTGAACCCACGTAGCGAAGGTGTAGTAGCTACTACTAGAGGTGTAGTTCCATCCCCAGTTTAAGTTCGCCCAGTGATTTCTTCATGTCAGCCATTACGTTTCAACCCGATTGTTTACTTGATCGATTCGGGTTTCAGCTTCCGACAGGCGGTTGTCATGTTGAGCAACCTTATCCTTCACCTCCCGTATCTCTTTCCCGAAGGTAGCGTGGATGTTCTTTATGAGGAGCATCTGTTCTTCCTTATCGCTTTTGAACTGCTCTTCCAAACGACAGGCCTGTTCCTCCTGTCGGCGGGCCTGTTCCTCCTGTCGACACCAATTAAAACTTAAAAGACACTAATAATTAATCACACTTAAAACTTTAGTTCACTTTATTTTGCTCCGAAGCTTCGCCCTTATCGTCAATTCAATACTGCCCCAATCGCGGCTTGCAGCGGCTTTAAATACACCTTTTCCACCGAAACGTCCAGAATATTCCAGCAAATACGGGCGCCGATCGACCAGGCGTAGAAGGTTCGACTGTGGGGCCTTCTAGAAAGCTTAATTCTTCTGTTCGATACTAGATGGCGCTGTTGGTAAAAAGTTAAGGAATGGAATTTTTTAGAAAGCCCTCCTCACTCTGTTCCCCGAAACTAGATGGCGCTAGTGTCGGTGCCAGACGTTAACTTAGGCGCGCAACAATAGTATAAAACACACAGGAGCGTCAACGAGTATAATAAAATCGAATTGCATGTCTTTAATATTGAAATAATTTTAATGAATCAATTCAGTAATGATATATTGCAATAAATAACTATTTGAACTTTTTAAAGCTTACTCAAGTTCCACTGAGAGAGAGAGAGAGAGAGACTGAGAGTGTACAAATAATTGTTCCGGGTTTGGATGTTTGTGCTAATGCAATTTATGTTTGAAAACTGTCTCCATGATATAGGGTAAAATCATAGTGTGTATAAAGTTGTGTAAAAATAAATATATTAAAAAATAATGTCTGTCTGTTCGGCCTAAACTTCAGAGTGGCTGAGTCGATTGTAATAAAATTTCACGAACAATACAAGGAGAGATTTACGCTATATGTTATCCTAAAATTTGGAGATTTCATTAAAGAACTTAAAATTAGAGCGTATAATGAATTGATCTTTTATTTAAAAAAATCGTTAAAGTATAAATAACCCCACATTAATAAATACAACACAGGCAAAGCCCAGGCGGGCTGTTAGTAATATCTACAAATGGTATTTCCTTTAATATTATAGTTTAAATTTTAATGAAAACTTTTTCTTCTTAAATTATCCTAAGTTATAATCACCAACAAAAATAATTAAATGAAACTAAGTTAACTGACTCAAATTTGGCTGGCTGGATAATAGGCATGCGGTAATTGCTTTTAACGTTATAATTAAAATTTAAGTAAAATTAC